CAGCTACAGTGAGCCGAAGGACACACTCACCTGTACTGCTCTCTCAGGGGCTGGACCGCCGGGCCCTGTGAGCACACCCAAGCCACATTTGCACCTGCATTTGTACACACACACACACACACACACACGCACACACACACACACACCTGGCTGAGACCCTAAGCCCGGCCAGCTTTCCAAAGCAGGCATCCCCAGCCACAGAAAGAGCGTCCCGTCATTATCACAAGGTCATCTCCTATTGGGTAGAGACACCAGGGAGAGAAATTGTTGGCACTGCTCAGACAGAGAGTGATGCTTTCCGTTCTTCCTCACTTCCTCTCCACACTTGGCCCTTACCCCACTCTGAAGGCCACTCAGGGGACAGAGGCTGGCTCTTCGAAGAAAGGGTTAACCTATCTGGGGCTGAGTCTCCCATCCCAGGATACCAGAGCCAAGCCTCCCTCCCACTTGCAGAGACTTACACACAGCTCCCCTCCAGGGGCAAGGAGAGCTGGGCGCTCAAGACAGAAGCTCACAGTGGTCGCAGCACAGTCCTGGCTTTTTCTCTGAGATCCCCGCTGGTGATGCGGTTGCATCCTAAGGAACTACTAGGAGTGGGCAGGGGAGGAGACAAGTGGGAAGGTGGGAGCCAGGGTGGGGTGTCTGGATTGGACACAACGGCTGTGGGAGGCCAGGCCTCAGCTCAGGCTTCAGGCAGACCTAGGCTCTTGGCATTGGCTTAAGGGGGACATTTGAACCCAGGCCTCCCGTCATATCTGACCCAAAGGGACACCGCCTCGGGCCTCCCTCTTCTCCAGACATTGCTCTAGAACAAAGAGATCTTGTTCCCAACATATATGAGGTCAGAAACCACTTTGAGGAATTTGTAGCAGTTATGGGGCCCATCCCAGGAAGATAGTCCTACGGTCATTAGGTGCTACAGCCCAGGCCCTTTTGCGGACACGTCCTGGGATTCTTCATACAAACCTTGCCCCCAATGCTGACGTGTCTGCCAGTGGTCCGGGAGCCGGCCTGCAACAAATGCAGGCTTCCAGGCCCAGCCTCCACCCTCCGGAAGCAGGATTGCTGGGGGATGGGTCTGGAGGCCTGTCCCAGACACGCATATTGGCCACATTTGGGGAGCTGGTTGAAGGTAGTTGTGGGAGGGGTCCTAAAGAGAAGGTAGTTGGGGGAGGGGTTCTAGAGAGAAGGTAGTTGGGGGAGGGGTCCTAGAGAGAAAGACAGAGGCCTGGACCCCATGTTCAGACATAAGGGTTTGGAACGTTGGGATGGGGATCAGGAATCTGCATTTTAATCAAGCAGCCCAGGGGCTGCTTGGGTGGCTGGGTGGCTCGGTCTGTTGAGGGGCTGGCTCTTGATTTCGGCTCAGGTCATGGTCTCGGTTCTCTCTCTCCCTCTGGCCCTCCTGCCCCCCAACCCCCCCCACCTGTCTCTAAAATAAATCTTTTTAAAAAATCAAGCAGCCTAATGATTTTGAGTCAGAGAGACTTTGGGGAGGGGAAGGGGAGCTGTGACTCAGTCCAATGTGTGCATAAGGCTGGGTGTGGGGGGGGTGCGGCACAGGAAGGCCTGTTCATTTATTTCTATAATGTGCCAGAAAACCATTCTAGGTGCATGTGGGTGGCTCAGTCGGTTAAGCATCTGACTTCCGCTCAGGTCATGATCTCAGGATCCCGGGATCCAATAGCATCCGGCTTTGTGCTTGGCCGGGAGTCTGCTTGTCCCTCACCTTCTGTCCCTCCCTGCTCATGCTCTCTCTAGTCCTTCTCTCAAATAAATAATAAAATCTTTATTAAAAAAAAAAAAAAAAGACAGAAGACTGGTGTAGCGACTTATATGCCAGGTCAGGTAACTGGTTCTCCCTCAGGCTCCAGGCCTTGGTTTCTCAGACTGCGAAATTCGGGGCCTTTGCAACTCCAGTAGTCTGTGCCCATGTCACGCAGCCCTGGCCACATGCGGGAGCAGCAGGCAGCCGGCTCCCCTTCCTGATACCCTGCCCCTTCCCAGGGAGGCCCTGGGGCCCAGAGCTGCCAGCTCCAGTGCCACCCCCCACAGCAGGGCCCCCGCAGGCCTTGAGGCTGCCGCTGGCAGAGCCACTCACCAGCCCTGAGTTGTTCCCAGCCCTGAGGCAGCAGGGCCCCTCTGGGCACGACATGGTTGCTAGTGGCAGCAGTGAGGTGTGCGTTAGGCCTGGATGGGCCGTGGCTGGAGGCTGAGGTCTGGAGGTCAGGGTGTGTGGGAATGTCAGACCCCTGAGGCTGGGACAGGCCGACCCTGTGCTCCTGCCACCTATGGGGAAGCGTTTCCAGGCCCAAGTGGGGGTGGGGCCCCACACAGGTGTGGGACTCCAAGTGGTGGGGCTTTGGGTCCTCTCCACCAAGGCTCTGGAACAAGATCCCTGGGAGCTCAGCAACCAGGTGGGGTCTTCCCTTGGCTGTCCCCCTTCTCTCTGGACAGTCAAACAGCTTTCACGGTGCCGGCAGCCCCTGCATGCTCCCAGCATACGTCTCTCCCCACCCAGCCCTTCTCTCTCCCTCTCTTCCATCCTCCAGCCTTCTGGTTTGGAAGGGCAGCTATGGGCAGCCAACAGCTCCCCTCCCCCCCACCTTACATCCTGAATCCAAAACCCCAAGGAAAGGGCGCCTGGGTGGCTCATTCGGTTAGGCATCTGCCTTCGGCTCAGGTCATGATCCCAGAGTCCTGGGCTTGAGCCCCACATTGGGCTCCCTGCTCAGCGGGAAGCCTGCTTCTCCCTCTCCCACTCCCCCTGCTTGTGTTCCCTCTCTCGCTCTCTGTCTCTGTCAAATAAATAAATAAAATCTTAAAACAAACAAACAAACAAACAACAACAAAAAAAAACCCAAGGAAGTGGAGTCAGGGGGAAGATGGAGAGGGAACCCTCCTGCTTTCCCAAAGTTCTCCTCAGCTCCACTATTTTGACCCTGTTCTGTTCAACAAATGCACAGTCTGAGAAAACTGTGCCAGTCCTGACACAGGAAAAGGGCTGGTGTTTAAAGTTCTATCAGCCATTTCATTGGATGTTTGGTGTTTTTTGAGCATCTACTATGTGCCTGGCACTGGGGACAGAGCAGTGACCAACCGACATAGTCTTTGCTTTCTTGGAGGTACCGACTACAGAAAATAGGAGGCCCTCTCTCGGGGCCTCTGTGTCTTTGTCCCTCGGTTGGTCCCTGGTCCTGTCCTGAGAGCCTGGGGCAGAACAGAGCAGAATTCAGGGGCTGCCCACTGCACATGTTTTTCCTAGAGAGCCCCTGCCTGCTGGGCCTGTGCTCAGAGCCCCTAAGCCTTTCCCCGGGGCGGCTGTCCCTCCCCCTACCCTTCCATCTTGTCTTCCTTCCTCGATCCCCTAGCTTTTGGCACTGGCCACAGCTCTCAATCCTGGCTGGTCATTGGCAGGCCTGGAAGAACTTTCATGAAGCCTACACCCCATCCCAGGACAGTCAGATTCTGCAGGTATAGACTAGGGATGGTCCTGGCCTCTAGATATTTTAAAAGCTCTCCAGATCTTTCTGAGGCAAGTTGTGATTCTAGCTCCAAGACCTATAGGGAAGGCCTACGGGCATTCTCCCTGCTATGACTTGGAGCTCTAATACACTGATAGGTGTGCCTGGGGCCTTTAGAAGAACATGGAGGGCCTCAAAGCCAGGTCAAAGGAGATAGGACTGAGCCCAGCTGGTACAGATATGCACGCTCAGTTGTGGAGCTGATAGTCCCACAAGGAGGTCAGTGAGAGGGAGGGATCCTCTGCCTTCTTTCCAGGCCACTCCCAGAGCCCTCTGTCCCCTCAAGGCTGCAGAAGGCTCCAGGGTCAGAGCCCGGTTCTCTGAGGTCAAGGAGAAGATGGAGGAGAGAAGGAATGAGACAGCCCTAGCTTCTTTCTCTCCTTTCCCTCTTAAATCCTGCTCATCTTTAAAGGCACAGTTCAAATTTTATCCCTTCCAGGAAGCCTTCCCTGATTGCCCAGATCAAAATCAATGAATCAGTTCCCCATAGGACTTTCACAAGGTCTTCCTCTGGATGCACTTTGTATACCTGACTCATCGAACTTAGATTTGGAAATGACTTGGAAGTCAGCCAGCTCTGTCTGTTTCAGGCAGGCCCACACTTAACATATCATAAATGTGGGCATCTCGCCCTGAGGCCAGAACCCCAAATACCGGAGGCCACCTGCAGATACAGGGGTGCACTTATTTCAGTCACACCGTTCCTGTAAGGGAGTAGGCAGGGCCTGGAGTTCCTGGAGGCCTGGGAACGTGGCTCCCCTGGGCTCCTCAGTGTCAGGGCTCTGGGGCTTTGCCCTGGGGAAGTCAGGGGACAATCTGCCCTGTCCCTCCCTCAGAGGGACTGGACGCTTCTACCAAAAAATCTGAGCACAATTCTGGGCAAACAGCCCTCTTTGTGGGGCCAGATCAGGACTCAGCTGGGGAAGGATTGTGGGGTCCCTTTCCCCCACATGTAATACAAGAAAAACCACATCAAAAAATAAGTACAAAAAAGCCCAATAAAGATTCTGATTTTCCCCATGATGACCTTTCCATTTTTTAAATATCACACTTTTTGGTGGGTGTCTTGCTTTGCTGGTGATCTCTGCAGCACAGCGTCCTTTGCATATTGGGAAATCAAACAGTTTTGCACATCGTGTGTGTGTAAGTTTCCACGCCTGGATTACATATGCATACAGCAGGTACACACACACACACACACACACACACATACACACCCCTCATATCCCATAAACTAGTGGTTCTCAGCTATGGTTGCCCATTAGAACACCTGGGGAATAACAAAATCCCAGTGCTCAGGCCACCTTCCAGTTACAATGAAAAAAAAAAAAAAAAGAACTTTCTAGGGGTAGGATCCAGACGTCAGTAGCTTGCAGATCCCCCCCCCCCCGTAACTCCAGTGTGCCGTCACACCTGAGAACCAGGGGTGTAGACGGCTGCTTGTCTGATGCAATCCCTTCAGTGAGCACTAACAGAATGAGTCTGCAGACTCTCAAACTCTTAAAGGACCCCACCTGGACAGACGAAGGTGGCAAAGGCTTGGTCTGGATGCAGGATCCCCAGCTGCAGGTGAGACTGATGGTCAAAACCATCTACAAGTCCTACACGATTCTTAGAAAAAGCTTTGACAGCAAGCACTATGGGTGTCAGGAAGGAGAGGAAGAAATACACTCTTTAGGGAGAATCTGGGCCCCATGTCTCATTGCTCTGAGCATCCATAGGGCCACAGCTGTTTCTTTCTCTCTCTCTCTCTCTTTCTCGCTTTTTTTCTGTTGCTCCTCTTTTTATGATGGGCATCAACTAAGGGGACTCCTACCCACCTCCCTCAGGAGACAGCAGCGGGAACGAGCTGCTAGGGAGCCAAGATGAGGGAGGGATTAGTGAGTGTGGCTTGGAGGGGCCTCTGGGGTCTGCAGCCTGGTCAGGAGTCTGAGGTCCAAAGATAGTGAATGATGGAAGGAACAGACAAGACTGTGTGTGGAAAGGAGGGACAGATAAGGGAGTAGGGACAGTTGGCAAGCTGCTGCTTGGGCTAGGAAAAGTTCATGTTTTGTTACTGATTTTTAAGAGTCATTACAAAGCTGAAATATTCGTATAAAAATATGGATACTATTGAAATAGACAGATAAATGAAAAGTCCTCGGGTGCCTGGGTGACTCTGTTGGTTGGAAAACTCCCTGCCGCTCAGGTCATGATCCAGGAGTCCCGGGACCGAGTCCCGCATCGGGCTCCCAGCTCCACAGGTAGTCTGCTTCTCCCTCTGACCTTCTCCCCTCACATGCGCTCTCTCACCGTCCTTCTCTCAAATAAATAAATAAAATCTTTAAAAAAAAAATGAAAAGTCCTCGCTCTCCTCCCATTTCCTCTCTAATATTCTGCTTCCCACTATTATCATTTTGGTATTTATCATTTCAGACCATATTCTACATATACATGTTTCCACACACATTGTTTTTATTGCGTTAAAAAAAAAAAAACGGATTATACTCTCCATACTGCTTTGCAGCTCGTCTTTTAAACCATCTACCACGGGCACCCTCTGTGCCTGTTCCTAAGTCAGAGCCGCTCACTCCTTTGGACAGCTGCACAGGATTTCATGGCCCTTAACTATTACAGGAATGCCACCTGCGACAGCGCACTTGTTCAAGTATTTCTGTAGGACACCGTCCTAAAAGTGGAATGGTTAGATCGGAAAGGATGCGCATTCCTAAATGGGTCAGACTGTATACAACTGTCCCTTGCAAAGCATCGCCGTCCCACCAGCGCACCTTCTTCCTCCTAATCGCCTGGGCACGAGGCCTTACCAACGCTTCAGACTGCATTTCCCCAGGTGGGTGGGGCACGCGACCAGAACTTCAGCAGGAGGGTTTTGGGGCGGGGGGGGGGGGCACAGCCTCCAGGTTTCTGTTTTCCAGCTGAGATAAAGGAGGAGAGGCAGGAAGGGGAGTGATTTCCGGCAGCAACGTGCAAAAGGAGAGAAGGAAGACACGCACCACGTCTGTCATTCTTTTGGTGGCGGGTGGCGCGGGAAGGGCGGCGGTGACAAGAGCGCACCAGGGATTTTCCTGTGCCCCCGAAGTGCCCCGGGGCTCACAGCCCCAGCTGGGAGCGGGCAGGGCGGGGTTAGTGCCACTGGTGAGGCTCTAACTGGTCCCGCGGACCCTCTCTCTGTCCCACAGCTCAGGCTCAGTCGCCCCTCCCTACCTAGCCGCCGGGTTGCTGAGCAGGTGCCGGAACCCCTTTAGGCCTCTACATCCCCACCTGTTAATTTAGGGTGTTGAAGCTGATGTTCCTCAGCTGCTAGGGTAAGGATGAAACGACCCGATGGTTGTCAAGTTTAGAACAGCGCCTCTAAGAAATGTCAGCGGCGTGGAGTGACCTTTCAGCTGGTCAATCATTCCCGGCTGCCCGCGCACGCGCACCTGCTCGGGCTCCTCTCCCTGGGGTAACCGCTGTGGGCCGTTCGGTGCATCTCCTTCCAGACTTTCTGGAACATGTAGACACACAACTTGTGTGTGCATGTGGGTGTCTGTGACAGTTAAAAATACTCCCGTGTGCCTACTCTACCATTTAGGAGTTTTTTTTTCTTTTCTTTAAAAAAGAATTTTTTTAAGCAACTTTATTTTTTGAACAGGCATTACATGCACATGGTATAAAATTTAAAAAGGAAAAAAGGGTGTACAGTGAAAAATAAGCATCCTTCTCGGTTTCCTAGTGAGGCAGGTCCCCAGTGTTATCAATTTCTTGAGTATCCTTCAAGAGATATTTCAAGCACTTGTATAAACATGTAAGTTTATGCATTATTTTTCCTCACACAAATGGTAGCACACTTTACATAATCTTCTGCACTTCTTTTTTTTTTTTTTTCATTTAATGATCTATCTTGGGTATATCTTTTCATATCACCACACACACAGTTATTTTTTGAAAAAAATTTTGGCTGCCTTGCGCTTCATGGTTAGAAGTACCATTACTTCTGAAATCCTTTTTTTTAAAGGAAATTTAGATTTTCTAATAGGTTGCTTATAAATGAAGCTATAACAAATATCCTTCTCTTTATAAAGAGTCTTCTTTGTGAAGTGAATGGAAACCTAGCTAGATTGACTTAAACGGAAGAGGAAAATGGAGTTTGAAGGTTCTGTCATTGCCGAAGACCAAATACCATGCTGACTACAGTTAAGGATTGATACAGTCACTCGGTGTCCTCACAGATCTCGTTCTCTGTCTGTTTTCTGTCTTTTGATGGGTGGCCTTTCTCTTGAGGCTCCACTCAGTGGTTGTTCCCCTGGCCCCTTCACCAGCTCTAGGGTCTTCCCTCACGGCACAAAAAGGCTGCCGTGGTTCTAGGCCTCTGGCCTCGCAGCACCACTCCATCCAAGGCAAGTTTGAATGTGTCCTCTGTAGACTTTACATGGAAGGAAGGCAATGACTTGTCCCAGGAAACTCAGTAAACCACAGTATCTTCTTCACTGTCCTGGTCACTTGCCCTTTTCATTTTAATGTTATCATGTACTTAATAGTACAGAGTCAGCATGGCTTCTTTGACTGACACTGTGGTGTTTGCATTAAAAACAAAACAACCTGGGGCTCTTGACTGGGTCAGTCAGGAGAGCATGTGACTCTTGATCTCAGAGTTGTAAGTTCGAGCCTCATATTGGGTGTAGAGATTAGTTAAAAAAAAAACAAAATATCTGAAAAAAAGAAAAATATAGCTTTTCCTCCCTAGCCACTTGAAGCTTGAAGCCGTCATCACGAACGACACCGTAACTATCCGGACCAGGAAGTTCATGACCAACCGACTACTTCTGCGGAAACAAACGCTCATTGCGGTTCTTCACCCTGGAAAGGGAGCAGTACCTAAGACAGGAATTTGGGAAAAACCAGCCAAAATATGCAAGACCATACCAGATGTCATTTTAGTGTCTGGATTCAGAACCCATTTTGGTGGTGGCAAGACAACTGGCTTTGGCACGATTTATGATTCCTCGGATTATGCATACAAAAATGAGCCCAAACATAGACTTGCAAGACACGGCCTGCATGTGAAGAAAAACACCTCAGGGAAACAGCAAAAGGAACGCAAGGACAGGGTGATGGCAGTCAGGGGGACGGCAAAAGCTCCTGCTGGCGCTGGCGACAAGTGAGCTGGAGATCGGTGGCCAGAAGGAGTCAAGATTCTGCCCGGACTTTATCTGTGGTGATTGTGTAGATTTTTCATGAGAGGATTAATAAACTAAGAACAATAAACAAATAAATAAAATAAAAATAAAACAACCTATAAACAATGTTGGAACGAAAATCTGCGCTAGTTGGGATACGGTTCAGTTGCTTTAATAAAGACCTACAGTAACAGGTGCTTAGTGAAACCAGCTAGAAGTGATCTCTCCGTTGTTCATAGGTGTGTAAGCAGTTCAAGGACGACAGGGTTGGTCTACTTTGTCAGGGAGGGAGATCCCTTTTGTCTTATGTCTTTGTCTACGTTGTTGAAGATGACTCAGCACCATATTCTTTGGGTCCATTGGATGGTGGGGGTGGGAGGGGTGGGACAGAAGACCCCATACCTCTCAGTGCACACCCCAGAAGTTGCACATCGCTTTTGCTCATACCCTCTGGCCAGAACTTGGCCACGTGGCCACACCTGGCTGTGCGAGAGCCTGGGAAATAGAATCTCTACACCGGGTAGGTATGAACCCCATGAAAAGTTGGGGGTTCTATTGTTAAAAGAAGGAGGGAAACATCTAGTATGGGGTAATTAGCCATCTCTGGTACAGCATCCTCAAACACTGATCTGTAAAGAGCTCTATATTTTTGTAGAATGGAATTCTTCTGGATACCCTCTAGAATGCTGCTAGGAACCACCCACTGGGAGCCCCTGGACTCCTGCTTTCCCACATATGTTACCCCTCTGCTGCAGCCAGCACAGTCCCAGCCGTGTGCTTGCCTGGACCCTGCTGGCCACATCTGCCGCGTGCGCCTGGGGCTCTGCCTGTTCAGCCACCAGTCACTAGCTCTACGGTCTGGGCCATCCTCAGATTTTATCTGCAAAATTAGGATTTTTAAAAAATTAAGACATTGAAAAAAAGTAAATTGAGGTATTGAACTCTCATCTAGGTCCTACAGAACGTCAGCTTCTCTTCTGGTTGTAGAGTTAGTTCCATGAAGGGGGGTAGTGTGGCAGTGGGAGAGGCAGCTTCGATGAAACGTGGCACCTAGGAAGAGGGAGGTGATGGTCCCACCCTGCGTGCTGGCAGGACCCACGCAGGTGGGCAGGGTTCGGATCTGGACATGTCTCTAAGGGCCCACAGACTGGAGCCTGGTCAGGGGAGAGCCACCGAAGCAGAAATGAGTGCGTGAAGGGAGGAAGAAGAATGGAAAGAAATGGAAGCATTTAATCTGGGGAGAGGGGAGAGAGGGGGAGAAGGAGGCAAGATGCACCTCCCGGCCAGGCTCTGGAATGGGAGTGTTGTGGGAAATGCTGGTCATGATATGTGTTGCCTCCAGGAGGAGCCACAGAGCAGCGAGGAGAATGTATAGGGCTGTAGGCAGGGGCACAAAATAAGAAATAATCTCTCTCTGTTTTACATTTTCATTGGAAAAATCGTACGTGTACTGTTTAACCTCCACTCGCTACTTTACCAGTCCCTCCACCTGCCTCCCCCCACAGTAACCGTCAGTTTGTTCTCTGTAGTTAAGAGTCTGTTTCTTGTTCATCTCTTTTTTCTCCTTTGCTCGTTTGTTTCTTAAACTCCGCGTATGAGTGAAATCCTATGGTATTTGTCTTTCTCTGACTTATTTCACTGGGCATTGTACTCTCTAGCTCTGTCCATGTCGTTGCAAATGGCAAGGTTTTATTCTTTTTTATGGCCGCGTAATATTCCATTAGATAGATGACGGATGGCACTTTTTCTTTAACCATTTGTCGGTTCATGGACACTATGGCTGCTTCCCTGACTTGGCTCTTGTAAGTAATGCTGATAAAATGATGGTGTCTGTATCCCTTTGAATTAGTGTTTTTGTATTCTTTGGGTAATTACCCAATAGTGTGATTTCTGGATGTTAGGGTTGTGCTACTTTTAGCTTTTTGAAGAACCCCCACGCGGTTTTCCACAGCGGCTGCCCAGTGTGCATTCCCAGCAACAGTGTAGGGGGTCTCCCTTTTCCCACATCCTGGCCAACACCTGTTGTGTCTTGCGTTGTTGATTTTAGCCATTCTGACAGACATCGGGTGATGTCTTATTATACTTTTGTTTTGTGTGTCCCTGAGGATGAGTGATGTTGAGCATCTTTTCATGCGTCCATGGGCCATAAGAAATGATCTCTTAAGGAGTGTAAAGACATTTAAATAATACTTGACTGAAAGGGGAAGAGGCTATTTGGGGCCTAGATGCCCACTGTGAGTTGGCCTGGCTTAAGGCTGCTCTTCTCTTTGCCTGTTACTCCCCAGCCTCAAAACCAGACTAGTCTTTGTCACTCTCCCTCAGCCACCACTGAAACTGTCCCACTGCGGCTATTGAATGTCCTCCCTCTGCTCTGTCTCTTGGAAGCTCTCCTGGCCTCGCCATTCTGGCCTCTCAGTGGCACGCCACAACGTCGATCACATCCTTCTCGAAGCATCCGGTTCCCTCTCCTGTGGCTTCTTCTCTGGTCCTTCTCTGCCAGTGGCTTCTCTACTGCAGCCTTCCTGCCTTCTTACTGCACAGCTCACCTCACCGTCTATTAGCTCCGCGTGTAGGTGGCCACTAGTCTCAGACTTGCCCCAGGCCCCTGGTCAGGGGCCCAGAGCTCTGTGAGCAGTGGCCTGCTGTCCCATGGACACCTGGAATTCAACCTGTCCCAGAAGGACTTGTCTTGTCCACCCTGTACCTCCAACCTCATCCTCCTGCAGGGAACAGAGAACCACCATTCGTGCAGACACCACGGACTGACCTCTGTGTGTCCAGTCTCGCCCTTCAACTCCATTCTATGCGTTATGCTCCTGTGGCTCAAGGCCCTTCAGGGGCTCCCCATAACCGCAGAACAGAGTCCAAATGGCTAAGCAGGCTGATAAGGTCCTTTTTGAGCTGGTTCCTTCTACCGTGGCAAGCCCAGCTTTTGTGCCACCCCCGCCCCCTTCCCTGTGGGCTCCAGCCAGCCTGCTCCGAGAGAGCATCGCTCACAGGCCTGAGAAGGCTCTTCCCTTCTTCCTGCCTCTGGCGAAGAGCCAACTCCAGGTCAGCCTTCAGCCTTCGGTACTGCTTTCTGTCCTCCAGGGAACCCTGCGCGCTGCCCAGGCGGCCTTAGCTGTCTCTCACCATGCACCTGTCTAGCACATGTATCTAGCTGCACAGGCTTCGTCCACTGTTTTTAATTGCTTGAGTGCATCTCTGTATCACCGAGGCTTCTAGAGCCGTGTGTGCAGGAACTTTGTTCATGTTGTTTTCGCTGCACACTTGAAGCCTGGAAGAGAAGGCGTTGCATAAATATTTGTTGACTACCATTGAGTCAAGACCTGACTAATTGGGCGTTGCCCAGGGCTTCAGCAATGGCCCTCACCTTGAGGACAGGCCAGGGCTCTGAGCTCCGGGGTAAGGAGCTGACAGAGAAGTGAGAGTGGCTGGAAAGTGAAAGTGAAGCTGACTGGGGAGGAGAGAGCCCCAGAGGGCCCAGAGGAGGGGCTGGGCCAAGAGTTCATTCAACCCAGTAAAGCAAAAGAGTCAGGCTAGGCTGGCATAGGGCTGGGATGGGAGGGGACACTGTGGGCAGGGAGGTGAGCAGACTGAAAAGAGAGAAAATGTGTTTTGTAATTAGTCATTGCCCCTCGGGGTGAGCCTGGGAGTTTTCACCGGAGGTGGGTAGACCAGATTTGCAAAATGACACACAGGGGCTAACCACCAGCTCAGAGACACCGTGGGGCTTCCGGGTTTCCGCGCAGAGCAGAAGTTGAGCTTTCTAGTTTTTTCTCTGTCCCTCCTCACTGCATTCAAGATTCTACCAAATAGTGGAAATGGGAGGGGAAGGCCTGGAGGAAAGACTTACCCAGGGGCCAGACCTGCCTTTCCTGACTTCCCAGGTTGACCTCTGCCTCTCTGCCTGTTCTCACAACAGAGACTGGGGACACGGTGGCCCTTGCCACTTGGAAGGATCAGCCAGTGACCCTACGTCTGAAGATGTTGACTAACTTGCCCTGTGGGGGTTCTTGGGAAACATGTAAACATTCCAGGGCTGGGGATTCTGGGTAAAAGCCACCATCTCTGCCTTCCCACTAAAGAAAGTGGCAAAGCGATTAGAGTACATTTGGGTATAAGGGGAATGCCTCATTCTGTGCCCAGGAAAGTGGAGGGCCGTTGTTCCCCCCAGATAATCCTGAGGATACTGGATTTAAATGTTAGGACAAGAACCTCTGTTTCTCTCTCTCTCATACACACACACACACAAAGGGCACATTTTGGTCTTTGCTCCTTTGGTCTTTTAGGGCAGTGGCTTCCAAAAGTTTGTGTGTGTGTGTGTGTGTGTGTGTGTGTGTGTGCGCACGCGCGCGCATTTTAGAGGAGGGGAGGGGCAGAGGGAGAGAGAAACTTCTTTTTAGATTTATTTATTTATTTGAGAGAGAGAGAGACAGAGGGAGGGGCAGAGGGAGAGAGAATCCTAAGCAAACTCAGGGCTCAATCTCACAACCCTGAGATCATAACCTGAGCCGAAATCAGGAGTCAGACACTTAACCTACTGAGCCACCAAGGCGCCCTAAGAGCAGTGGCTTTCAAATGTTTAAAACCATGACCTATGAGTAAGAAATGCGTTTCTTATCTCAACCCATTCCTCTGATGAGTGTTTACATACCTATCCTGAACTAAAGGTTTTATGCAACTAGACGTTCCTTTTCATATATGTAACCCGTGCTTACGTTTTCCCATTCTATTCTATCTCTTTTTTAGAAAATTCTGAGTACAGTCTACTAAACTGATTTCACGACCCACTAGTGGGTCTCAGCCCACAATCAAAGAGCACTGCTTTAGGGGGAAGAGTCAGTTCTTCTCTGGACTTGGTCTTCAGCTTCTGACCGCTGGAATTTGGCCCCAGTTTTCCTGATGAGTTTCTTCCCTCCATGTTCTCCTTACACATACACCCTGCACCAGACCTATAGTCCCCAAGTCACCACCATCATCGG